CCCCATCGTGTATTTCTTCTCATCCATAGCACTTGTAATGTCCTCCATCAGGTCGGCAATGGCCAAAGATGTCAATCGGTTTGACCTAAAACCGTATTGGCAATCAGAGAGGATTTTATGTTTGTCAATAAATGTATCTAATCTGTTATTAAAGAGTTTTTCCAGAATTTTTGAAAATTGTGACAACAGAGAAACCGGTCTATAAGTTGTGAAGTTGTGCTTATCACCAGATTTATACAGATGAATAACCTTTGCTATTTTCATATTACTGGGGATCAATTTTGTCTTTCTACCACAGCCTCCAATCCAAGATTATCTTGACATTGTTAGAAACAGCCCTTCACTGTGGAAAAATGGACTAGTCCTGTCAACCCCTCATGAGAACAGAGGTAAGAGCAAGTATTTAATGGCAATTTTTGTAAAAACTTGTGGCTTAATCATTTTCCATTTCAGAGGTTCCATTCTTCCAGATGTGGCTCATGCTGGAGTACAGTGAAGAACTGAATGAGTGCCTTAAATTTATAATAAAACATTAAAAGAAAGTTTGAGTTGTAATAGTTTTATTGAAAAAACAGCCCAGAACAAGGTCAAAAAGACAAGCAGACCTAAAAATCACCATTTTGAAACCAAAGTACCCTTTTTTTTCTTTTTAAATGCTGCTGAAATTTTGGCCAAGATGGGATATCCCCTACTGGTGGGGTCAAAGCAGAGTACCTCACATTTTGTCCATGCTGTTACAACTGCATGTGCCTGGACCACAGTTGTGAAGACTCTAGTCATGTAACTACAAGAGAAATCTTCAAATCTGTTTGACCTGGTGAACTGGATTGGAATATTGTTCATAATGGTGGGATACAAATACAGATGGGTGACAATTTTAAAGGAAAAAAAAACAATGTTTAGTGTCTCATTAAGGTGCTGGGTCATCAGGAAAAAGCTTCACTGCACCTTGACATTGACTGTTGGTCTCTGAACACTACTGGAGGAATGAACACCATTCTTCTAAGAATGACACTGGAAATAGAGGAATTAATTCTAATACAAACATGTTTATTAAAGAGTATTGATTTGTTGCCATTTATGAATCCATACAATACAGTTCTTACCTTTTGATAATACAATGTTGTCTGTCACCTCTTCCCCACAGTGGACATAACTGTTTTAGCTTTATTGCATCATCCCTTATACCTCTTAGTCATCTGTACAAGAATAAAGCCTCAAATGTATCATTTTAAACGATCAAATAAATGTAAACATTTAATCAACAATGCCAAACCTGAATCATAGTGATCTGTGGTAAAAGTATCAAACTGAGATGTTCACATGAACTATGTATTAATCATAATACATACAGCCCAGGTACTCTATAAAGCAGATAATACATGTAGTTAATAAAGATCAAAGTTTTTAATATCACTTGCCAGTTAATGTTCACCTATAAATCACACTGTAAATCCATATATCAACATGAGCAGACCAATTATGAGAAACATCTCTCATAATAGATGTAATATAACATTACAACCTTCCTTCACAAATAAGCTGTTCTAGTAATAGACAGTATATTCAGTTGTTCCATGGTTCTTTAAACCGGCAACAGAGTATACAGTATGTTCCAGTAATTTTTAGTATGCATATGTTGGTCAAATTTTCCAAGGCTGAAAGGACATTTTAAAATGTAACTCTTCCCCACACTAACATGTTAACTCTGTTAGTCCCTATTTCTCATGGTAAAGTGAGCCCAGGAATCGAGATGCTGAGGCATAGAAGAAAAGACTGAACAGCTTTGGCAGAAAAAGATGTAACAGTTTATGTGTTGCTGGTAGCTGCAGTTCCAGATGCTTGTGTGGTGGTGGTGAAGTTATTCTGGACAGTGTAGGAACAGATGCCTACATTACCCGCCTGATCCCCAATCAACAGCTCCACATTTGGTGAACAACAAGACGCCCTATAGGACACCAGTGTTGTGTTCACATTGCTGGTGGCCAGGCTGGTGTTCAAGATACCACTGCCTTGTGTGACTCTAACAACATCAATGCCCGTCCCATTAAACCCACCAGTCACCTGAAGAGACAGCTCCCACAATGACAAGCTGCAATTGTAAGAGCAGTTGGACAGTAGGCTGAGCAGCAGACATTGGCTGAGTAACAGTCTCCTATAAGGAGAAAACAAATTAGATAAAGTTTTACAATAATTCACGCAATAAACCCAATGGTTAAATAAGCTACAGCAGAATGATTATTCATTTCTTTAGCATGTAACAGAATTGCAATTTTCTTCCTCAACTGGAGAGTTACCATTGTTAGCACAGCATAGTTTGTATCTGCTCCTCCTGGAGCCTCGGCCCCAATGGTCAAGGTGACGCTCGTACCAGACGTGGTGTCTGGAGGCGCCGTGATGGTCACTATACCATAGGCACTGCCGCCAGCTTCCAGGGATAAACTAGATGGGAAAGTTGAACTAAAACCTTGGTCATTGGTAGCTTGGATGATGAAGTTTCCTCCTGCACCGCTGGTCGTCACAGAGAAGGGAAGTAATCGTGGTGTTCCTGGTACTAAGACACCGTTTGTATCTGTCTAAAAACAAAAGAAAAATGGAAAAACAATCAGTTTTAGGAGTACAGTGAGAAGACAACTGCACCTTAAAGGGCACACCACAGGTTTTCAGACAGGTGCACTTACAACAGTAACAGTCACATTAGAAGATCTGATGGTGGTGGATGACTGCCTTTGGAAGGGCACTGAGGAAGCTTTGGTGGAGGCGTTACTGATCTGTCCCTTCACAAGTACCGCAAACCTAGCTGATGGTATCTTGTCAAACCGAATTAAGACGTTTCTCTCACTCTGAGTCTCTATGGTGCCGTTAACCATCCCTGAACCCAATGATTCAACCAGAGTGACTTCTCTCACTATGGCGGAGTCACTCCCACTTATCGTCACCATCATGCTGGCATTAGCACCTTCAGGACAAAGAAAAAAATTCAATCAAGTACTGTATGCCTAAGGTGGTCCAATTACTCTGGCCAACATTCATTCAACCTAACATTCATTATATGATTCACCACATAATCACAGAGGCCTCACCTACAACCTTCAGTGTGTAGGGATTTGGTGACACCATTTTAATCTCCCACAATCCTACTTGTGTATTTAGTTGCAGAGTCTGGAAGTTTCCCACCGACTGGGATGCAGTGATCAGTGATCCTGTCATGTTAGTGCTGTCCTGATGCACATCTAAAAAATGTCAAGAAATGAAGCACACTGGTTAAAAGGCCAAGAGTGAAAGAAACAAATGCTTTAATTATTAAAAATAAAGTGTCACCTGAGGGACTGATGAGAGTAAAGGTGACAGACTTCCCAGTGATGTAAACCGTGAGGTTTTTTATTGTCTCATCAACTGTGAAGGTGAAATTCTCAGCATTTCCTGTGTCCCTGACTGCTTGCAGAAGGGTCACCTTGGTGATTAAATGACATTAGTGATACAACTGACGTTTTTTGGAAATTAGCAAAGTCAATGGTTATGGCCAGTGAGAGCATTGTCTTAATACCTGAGAGGCACTGGTAGACTCTCTTACAATGCTGGTGGCCCTAAGGAGCTCATTTTTTGTGACTTGAATAGCCTGACCTCCAGAAACCTCAGCCAGCTCTTTGTACAGCTGGAAATCTGATGTCAACATCCTGTACTGCTGTTGTTGTTGGTTGTCATCACTTTGTCTTCGACGACGAAGCCCCAGTACGTTAGTAATCATAAAGTTCACCTGAAAAGAAAACAACTGGATGAGAGTTTGAGTCGTAGGTGGTCTGATCTTTATGTAAGTCACAAGAACAGACAAACACAATGTGCTTAATACAAAGCAACTAGAGAAATGCATTTTCTGAAGAAAATGCGTTTGGATGCTGAGTGCTGAAAGATTGCCCTGAAAATGCTGAACATTTTGAAGAGTTCAACATTTTGATAGCTGAAAGTATGCTGAAGTAGAATTTTCCCATTCCTTTGAATGGGGCAAGATTTTCAAAATAAAGCTAAATATTTTAAAAGTATGAAATTTTGAAAAATTTTGAATACAAACATGAATGTTCTTGAATAACTGAACATTTTGATACCTGAAAGACTTTTATAGATAAAAGTATACTGAAGTAGTTGAACGCTGAAAAACATACGGAAGAAACCAGAAAAATAAAGAACAGGATAACAATAGTATGGATGCTGAATCAGCATCCATATTATTATAATTTAATACTTATTAAACATTCATAGTGCTGGTGGAGAAAGTAACTGAAACCTTGGATTAAAAACTAGTCAAGCCTCATTTGGCAGCAACAACCTCACAGCTCAGACCTACACATTTCAGTCTCACGATGATGCTAATGGACAGTCAGACAACTGCCTGAAATGTTTGGTAATCACCAAAGTCAATTTAAAACTTTAAAATTTAAAACTTTAAAATAGTAACTAATAATTTTGATTATAAATAGTCACAGTATCATCAGCATAATCACAGTTTGTGAATTAGACGCTGGACAACTCGAATGGACATTTACAGATTTGTTAGATATCAGCTTTGGCTGGACAGTAACACAACCCTAGTGTAAACTACCAAATGTTAGCATGCTAACAAAAGTAAGACGGTGACTGTGGTAAGCAGGTCTCCAGTACCAGCGTGTGATTGAAAGGCACCAGCCATAGTCACAGAGAGTTGACTGATTATGGATATCTAATGCTGACTAATTAATTGGTCACACACACTGTGATAGATGCTATAATTGTGCTGTCGTTGTTTTATTACCACTTTACCATAATTGTATGTTCATTCCTGTTAATATTGTTGTTAAGCTGATATACCATTATTTGTTCCATATTAGTTGTGTATAGCTTTGGAAGTAACATTAAAGTATGAAAGTTATCCATCCTGACTTCCTGTGTTTTTGACTCTCTGGTCTACTGGAATTTTATCAAACCAATTATGAATAAATTATAATGTTAACTGATAGATAATTTTTATGTCTGACATTGGTTAAACTGTCAATACTCCTACAGCAGAGAGAGGTGATTTTACATATTATATTAACGCCCGATGTGCAGGATCCCAAGGTTGGTTGACTTTATTATTTTAATAGACTTCCGGGTTGCAAGCGAGAGTGGACGTTTTTTCTGCTCCTCTTGTCTGTTCTGGGATTTTCATATCTTTTCATATCTTCTACACTTTCAAATCTTTGAAAAAGTCAACATCTGTTGAAATGCCTCCAAGAGGGAAAAAACCCAATAAGTCCGATGTGGCTGAGGATGTCGAAGCTGAAGAAAATTATGACAGAGCGCCGCAAGACCTGCTGGAAGAGCAGAAAAGAATGTACACGGCGCTGCTCACTCAGCTTAACGAAAGCTTCAAAGGATTTGTGCAAATACTTATGGAGACGAACAACAAGAGATTCGACGA